GCCGTTTTTGCTCCAAAAGAAAGCAATAGTCCTACAAACATCACATTATCCGACTCGGGCTTGATTGCGTCGAGTTTTGCAGAACCGAGCTTTAAAAACGCATCTCTGATTGCACCTCTCCCAGATCGATTTTTGATTTGGATGAGCAAAGGCGGACCATCCTGAATAAGACATTTCTGTTAGTACTAGTTGCCATCATAATAAACTAAACACTGCTTACATCGTAACTGTTTGCATTGCGCGATGTTGGGATGACGACATCAACGGCTTCCTGGTTTTCTTCGCATAGAAAGTAACAACCTCGATCCCATCCAGTCTTCAATAACGCCTTGGATAGCTGTTGGCTTGTTCCTCCGCTGATTTTCCATGCATGTGAGAACTTCGCATAGACATTTTCGAGTCTAGTATCCAAACTTTCCTCATCGATATCAATGAACACATTCAAAAAAGCCTGTAAAGAAACTGCTTGAGAATATCGGAAAGGCATCATTTTCTGAAAGCTAGCCTTTTGGCATTTTTGCATCGCCAATCCGATTATCAACGAACCAATCAGCTCGCCCCTCTTCCCTCGTTCTACTAAACCGTTAGTAAGACTGTTCGCTAAAAATCTCAGCATTTGCATACGTTTTTCGTGATTGAATGTATCTTGTACCAATTTTGCCGCTGCCTCGGCTAGCACAGGATCTGACGGGTATCGTGCTATTATGCTAGATCGGTCATGGGATACGTGAAGACACATCGCCATATTACCAGCAACAACTTGTTTTGATAAGGAAGAAGAGGGTGTAATTTCAATGCTCGCAAATGATGAAAGTATTGCTATTGCCACTTGCGTTGTCATTGTTATCGGTGTTTCTACCCGTTCGTGACCGCCTAGTAATTTTGACTGAGCAAAAGCAACAAGATCCCCCTCAGTCATACCACATGACTTGAAAGCCGCCCACATAACCCGCCCGTATTCCCATATCTCACAGTCTCGGTAGTTTTTTTGGCGGGCAAACAAATCGAAGGTGCACAACTGATAAAAAGGAGGGAAAAGCTCCATGTATGTACGAGGTCGGAAAGATGGGTCTGCTTCTGGCGATGGAGAAAAATTACACAAACTCGACATGGTATCGGCAAATACTGCCACGACACCCTTTGTAAAATAGCGGAGGGCTCGACGAACGGACTCGAAATCACCTGTTGCAACCATCGCCCGAGCTTCATCAAAGACTATAATTAATGGAAATCGTGTTTCGTCTATCATTTTATCTAAGAGCTCTCTGGCATATTTTTCGAACTCCTTTTCCTTGCCAAATTCTGCAACCTGGCTCATGTGTTTTTCTATAATAGTTTCGTCGATAACTTTCTCATCGTTAAACCATTTTTTCGACCATGATTGATGGCCTTTTGCATTTCTTTTCTGTGCTTGGTTCCACGACTGAAGCACGGCACAAAAATAAGAGAAGTAATATGATAAGTCTAACTCTTTGCCTTCTCTCGATAAAAGGCTTTGTTTTAGAACGGGAGTCTGCGGATACGCTTTCTCTGTTGCGAAGCTGACATAAGAGACCCAATATGAATCGGTTAAACTATTAAAGAGTTTTGATTTTCCACTACCGCTCGATTGGAAGAAGGCAAAATATGGCGAATAATAACGGTTACGCAAGCTCTTCCAAGCCTCGTAGACTGTGAAGACATGAATGATAAAATGCTCCAGGCTGTGATTCGTCTCCCCACCGATATAGTCGAGGTCGAAAGCAAGTTTTACCAACGGAGAAGTTTTAGAAATTCTGTCAACATTAAGTTTTTTTTGGACTCCACTGCTGCTCCCTTTTATATTGTAAACGAAAGCAAAAGTTCGATCA